TGTGGAGCTGCCTTTGGAGCTGAGCAGCGGCAGCACAACCACAAGGCAATCCTCCCTTGTGAATGGGGGAGAGGAGGCCAATGATGCAGAGGAAGAAGAGGAGGAGGTGCAGCAAGTGAGCGAGCGTGCACCGTCACTCCCTTCCCGTACTACGAGTGGTCCACGGATTCGAGCCACACCGCAGCAACGCCAAGGCCTTCAAGTCCCTGCAGCTGAGGAGGAAGGAAGGGGGAAGAGGAGAGTTCAACCCCCTAATAGGCTGGCCTATGATGCGCCGGGAAAGCAGGGCAAGACAGCCCTGGCCGGAGCGGCAATGATGGTCGGAGACGACGAGGAGAGTGACTACGAGGAGTGTGCCTTCGCGTTCTTCTCTCCGGTGGAGATGCCGGGAGAACCAGCAACTCTCAAGGAGGCTTTGGAGAGTAGTGATGCTGAGGAGTGGAAGAAGGCCATGGAGAGTGAGCTGAAGAGCATCGAGGAGAATGACACGTTTGAATTGGTGGAGCTACCGGAGGGGCGTACGGCGATAACGTCCAAGTGGCTCTTCAAAATCAAGTCGGATGCCGACGGCAAGATCGAGCGCTACAAGTCTAGGCTTGTAGCCAAGGGGTACCAGCAGAAGGAGAAGGTGGACTTCAAGGAGCTGTTTGCCCCTGTGGTGAAGCCGACGACGCTGCGAACCCTATTTGCGGGAGCCGCCATCAAAGGATGGGTAGTAAAGCAAATGGACATCGTAACGGCATTCCTTAACGGCATCCTTGAGGAGGAGATTTTTATGGCGCAGCCAGAGGGGTTTGATGATGGTAGTGGCAGAGTGTGGAAGCTGAAGAAGGCCCTCTATGGGCTGAAGCAGGCCCCTAGGCAATGGTACATGAAGCTGCGCGAAGTGTTGGAGGGGATCGGCTTCACTCCCTCAACGGCCGATCACTCCTTGTTCATGCTTGGCGAGGGGGAGCAGAGGAGTTTCATGGTGGTTTATGTGGATGACATCCTCATTTTCTCACCCTCTTCTGACCTTGTGAAGGAGGTGATGCTGAAGCTTCAAGACAAGTTCAAGTGCAAGGCCCTTGGTGACGTGAGCTTCTACCTTGGGCTCCACATCGAACGAGATGTGGAGAAGCGGTGCATGCGGGTGCATCAACGAAAGTACCTGGAGGCATTGGCTGCCAACTTTGGGCAGAGTGAAGGCCATGTGGCTACACCCTTTCCCTCTGGGTTCAAGTGTGTGAAGGGACCAGAGGAGGAGAGCGTTGGTGAAGAGGAGAGGCGCCGATTTCACTCGTTGGTGGGCAGCCTCATGTATGCGGCGGTAAACACCCGACCGGACGTCGCGTTTGCTACCGGGCAGCTGGCTAGGGTTGTGCAATGCCCTAATGAGGAGCAGGTAGCAGCTGGAATGAGGGTGGCCAAGTATCTTGGCCAAACACCGACCGTTGGGCTGCAATACTCGGCGGCGGCACAAAGGCGCCAAAAGGGCGCGGATGGTGTTGAACCCGGGCGTTTGTTCCTCACCGCCTACTCGGATGCTTCATATGCATCAGAACCAGAGGACATGACAAGTGTGGGAGGTTTCATATGCTGTGTTGGTGGAGGCCCAACTGCTTGGGAGAGCAAGAAGCAGGTTGACCAAGCTTTGAGCTCGGTGGAGTCCGAGTACATGGCACTCTTCCGTGCCGTACGGGAGATTGTGTGGCAGCGGCGTTTGTTGGCTGAATTGGGGGAGGAGCAGCAAGGACCTACCCCACTGTACTGTGACAGCCAGGGTGCCATTGCTCTTGCTAAGAACCCTGTGTTGCATGGACTCACGAAGCACATGAGGGTGAAGTGGCATTGGACGAGGAGCATGGTAACCGCGGGTGAAGTTGAGTTGCGCTACGTGAAGACCACGGGGCAGCCGGCTGACATGATGACCAAGAGGCTGGTGGAGCAGCAGCATTGGAAGTGTTGCAAGCTGGCTGGGATGGCTCTGAACTGAGAGAGCAACATATCCTAAGGCCAACAATCCGAGGGGGAGTTTGTTGGTGCAACCCTACGGTTTTGCACTCGGCTTGTTGTCCGTGTGCGTGAATGTGTGTGTGTATGGAATGGTATGAGGGCATGGGATAATATATATTTCATGCTTATAATTGTGTGTGAATGTTGAGTCATGATGTCGAGTGTGTGTGTCGAGTCAATAGCGAGTTATCGCTAGACGCGTGTTACGCGGTCGTTTGTGTCTCGCGCGCGGTTTCTATTTTGTCGTGCGTGGTTTCTATTTTGTCCTGTGTCGAACGTTCGGCGTGTCGCAGGTGTGTGCAGCAGAACCATCAAGAACTCAAGGATGAGTTTGTGATGAAGAGCCCGAGCCTTGGTGTCAAGCCTCAAGTGATTTCGAAGCTCGCCAAAAGGGTACACCTCAAGATATTGAAGATAGTTACATTACTTTGTGTAGTGTAACATTTCACTTGGTGTAGGCCCTAGTGAAGGGTAGTTTCGAGACCCTTCGTGGTTGAGGACAGTGTGGCACTGTTCCACATCACTGTACCTCGGCTCTTGGGGTTTGTAGGAGCTGGGAGTCATTCCCAACTCGTAACTCTTCCTATCTTGTGTTCTAAGACTATAGTGGCTGCCATAGTACCGTTCGTTCAAACCGACGCTGTGTCGTCAATTCTTTATCAAATCGTGCAATCTAAATTGCTAATTGTAGACGACGTAAAGACGCTCCAGATCCAATTTGAATCAAGTCATTTGCAGCTGTGAGCAGAACGCTATCAACGTTTGAAGCCGCTGTGCAGAAATCCGTCTGTGCTCTCTATCTTTCGTTTTAGGCACATTCAAGCCTATTGTGACTATAACAGTGGGCGCAGTACGGCGCGAAGCTACAGTTCTCCTTGGCATACCACCCACAAACAGACGGCTAGACCGAGCGGACCAATCAGACCATGGAGCAGCTGATAAAGACAAACTGCCCCGACCCTGCTCGCTGGGAAGACTCGCTCGCCATGTTGGAGTTTGCCTTCAACAATGCCCCGTCTAGCACGAATAATCACTCCCCGTTCTTCTTAAATCACGGGATGGACCCGACGGTGCCTACAATGACTACACTCGACAATCCGGTCCCGCGGTCACAAACATTTGTGACAGAACTACAGGAAGTTCGGGAGAAAGCTGCGAACGCAATTCGCAAGGCGAATTCAACTTCCCGGAAATACACCGACCTTTTACGACGGGAACTCGTCTTGGCAGCTGGGCAACTAGTACTACTCGACACGAAGAACCTGCGCCTGCTCGGCCCATCGAAATCACGGCCACGATTTTGTGGACCTTTCAAGATAATCAAGATGGTGACACCTGTCACCGCGAAGCTGCTGCTACCCAACGACTGACGTATATATGACGCCTTCCACGTCAGCTTACTTCGCAGGTTCGTGCCAACCAAGACAGACATCGCACGACAACAGGTTGCACAGACGGCACGTCCGGTACCAGAACCGACACTCGACCCGTCCAAAATATTGGCGAATCATATACGACTGGACGCCGCTGGTCGCTGCAAAAGTAATGAACGAGGAATGAATGAACTATGAAACAGTTGGGTACAAGTACTAACCCTAATTGGGTTGTACCCCTGATGGTTACCCCACTATAGCCTACACAAATGTATAAGCTATAATGTACTGACACACCCCCATAGGCAAAGTGGGGGAGAACAAGTGGTCACAAGACCAGTCAAGAAAAGCAAAGCAAGCTCAGGGTGGATCACAAAGTCACCACACAGTCCGAGCACAAGCTAAGGGCCACAAGGCCAGTTCACATGCAGAGTTATATAAAGAGAACAAACAATACAGTGATCATACCCTAGCAAGTGCAAGCATGCAGGTATAGATATATAGATCACAGTACAAGCGGAGTCAAGCAGTAAGCAAGTGAGGCAAAGTAGGCACAAGGCCTAACATAGTAGCAAAGTGCTGATGATCACCAGGCAGAAGTGCCTTGGTGAAGACATCAGCAGTGTTGGCCCGAGTGGCCACGTACGCAAGATGAAGCTGGCCACGCTGCTGCAAATCTCGAGCAAGGATGTATCGCAGAGCGATGTGCTTCGTTCTGTGCTCCAGTCTGTGCTCCTGATACAAGGCAATCATGGCCTTGTTGTCTACGTACAGAACTGGAGGCGAACGAGGCTGCTCTCCCAAGTCGGTCAGCAGGTAGGTGAGCCAGCGTAGCTCCTGAGCAGCCATGGCCCAGGCGTAGATCTCAGCATCACAACTGGAGCTGAGAACCGAAGACGAGCGGGTCGACCGCCAAGAAACAGAGCCGGAACCAAGGCTGAAGGTGTAACCCTGTGACGACCGCTGCATAGCTGAGTTGTCAACCTAAGAAGCGTCTGCGTGACCAGTGAGAACAACAGGACCCCGTCCTCCAAGCACAAGCCCCATGCCCGACGTACTGCACAGGTAATGCAGTACCCTCTTTGCAGCATCCCAGTGCACCTTTCGGTGCCTACCGGGAGCCACGTAGCGAGCCAGAAGGCTGAGAGGGTACGCGAGGTCAGGTTGTGTGCACGTCATCAGGTACATGAGGCAACCCACAAGCTCTGGGTACGGACCACTCGGCTCTACGGAATCGTCCGAAGGTGGAGCTGAGAGCGAGTGGCTGGTAGACAGAGGAGTGGGCTGTGGCGAGGAGAACTGGAAGCCGAAGCGCTGAAGGACCTGGTGCACCATGTGTGACTGAGTTAGTGTGATGGTGCGCCGTGCTCTGTCCCGGGTGATCTGCAGGCCAAGATAGCTGCGCAGTTCACCCAGGTCAGTGCAGGTGTGTCTCTTCTGCAGCTCGGACTTCACAAGGGTCAGTGCCTCAGTGTCAGCAGTGGCAAAGACGAGGTCGTCGACGTACACGAGGACGTAGAACGACGGCAGCGAGGTTTCGGTGCGTAGAAACAGCGACGGGTCCGCAGTAGAAGGAGCAAACCCAAGAGCCGCAAGTGTAGTCCTCAGTGTGTCGTGCCACTCGTGAAGTGCCTAGCGGAGACCGTAGACTGGCCGACGGAGGCTCCACTGGGTACCTGCAGGAAACGTCCCAGTGAAACCAGGTGGTCGACGCAGCCAGATCTCCTCGTGCAGGCTGCCCTGCAGGAAAGCTGTGCTGAAGTCCAAGGAGTGCAACTCGTAGTCAAGCTGAGCAGCGACGTGCAGCAACACCCGAAGAGTGGTCATCTTCGGGGTGGGGGAGAAGGTATGGAAGTAGTCAACTCCCTGTCGCTGACTGAAGCCTCGAGCAACGTAACGCGCCTTGAAGGCAGGCGGAGAACCCGACGGCCGCTTCACCCTGAAAATCCACATGCCATCGACTATGTTCGCCCCAGGTGGGGGAGCCTCATCAATGTAGGTGCCTGTGGACTTCCAGGATGCCATCTCGGCATCCATGGCTGCCTGCCACTGAGAGGAGTAAGGACGCGTAATCGCCTCTGCGTAAGAGCGCGGGGTCGGGATGTCTGGTGCATTCGGGTCTCCCTCAGGGGCAAGCAGCATGGAAGCGAAACGAGGTACAGTAGCTGCAAGACACTCAAAGTCCTCTTGCCTGTCCTCAAGGACGTCCGTGCCAAGAGCACACTCACCCCCGACGGACGGAGGACTGGCAGACACAGACTCAGCAACTAGAGCTGTGGCGAAGTCGAGACGGCAGGCAGCAGCAAAGTCAAGCAGTTCAGCAACGAGAGCAGACGCAGCAGCAGACTCAAAGGAAGGGTCAGTGACAGCAGTGGCAAGGAGACGAGAGACAGTGGGACTGGCAGCACAAGCGCGGTCGGACTCAGGGTCAGGGGCCTCAAGAAGAGAGGACTCAGGAGGAGGTGGCAGAGGAACACGCATTGGAACAGAGGAAGGACGGAGTGCCATAGCGTGCGTGCCGGGAACAGGAGGAGGACGCGGACGAGGAGCGTGACGAGCAGTGCGAACAGGCGAGACAGGACGAGACGCAGGCTCACGACGCTCCGTAAGACCGCCGGACTTCTCAGTGTACGGAGAGGGAGCAGGCAGTGGGGAGGCTGGCTGTAACGGCGGCTGCGACTGGTCAGGCGGGGGACACAGGAGGGGAGGAGTAAGGCCGGTAGAAAACGGGGTACAAAGAACCTGCTGAAGCAGGGGAACGAAGTACGGTCGCGGCCGCACAGTGCCTCCAGCTCCACCAGCGCCAGGGTCAACAGCTCCAGCACCTGCAGCTCCAACGCCACCAACTCCAGCTCCGGCAGCTCCAGCGCCTCCTGCGCCAGGGCCTCCAACTCCAGCTCCTCCAGCTCCAGCGCCTCCAGCGCCAGCTGCTCCAGGCTCCGTAGGGTCTCCAGCTCCAGCAACCTCAACACCACCAGTCCCGGCACCTCCAGTACGCCGGGTACGAGCACCTCCAGGAACAGTGGCCGCAGTACCTCCAGTAACACCAGCTCCAGGAACTCCAGCACCTCCAGCTCCAGCAGCTCCAGGACCTCCGGCTCCAGTAGCTCCACGCCAAAAGCATGCGCGACGAACAAACCACTCACGCAGCTGCTGTGGAGACAGTCTCGGCGATGCACCAGTAGAACCTCCAGACGAAGCAGCACCCTGAGGCTCAGCACCTCCAGACTCCGCACCCTCCGACGCAGCACCCCCAGGCTCAACACCCTCAGGCTCAGCACCCCCAGGCTCACCACCCCTAGTCCCAACACCCCTAGGCTCAGCACCCCCAGTCTCAGCACCCTCAGACTCCGCACCCCCAAGCTCCGCACCCCCAGACGCAGCACCTGAGCCCATAGCTACCTGAACAGGCACATTACCAGGGAGAGGGTCTACCTGAGACACACCCGAGGGAGCAAGACCCTAGGGCAAGAGGGGGTCTACCGGAGGTGGACCGGGAGCAAGGAAGAGCGGTGGGGGCGGGGGAGGGGCAGAGCGGTAGGGGAAGAGACGGTAGAAGGGAACCGACTCGTTGAACGTGACGTCCTGAGACGGGAGGACACAACGCGAGGTGGGGTGGTAAAACTGCCAGCCAGGCGCGTCAGGGACAAAGCCAAGAAAGACGCAGGGGATAGCACGGGGGGAGAGCTTGTCCGCGGACGTATCGCGAACACAGGCACGAGATCCCCAAACCCGGAATACCGACGCATCGCCAACCTCCCCCGTCCAACGCAGTGTGGGCGAGGTCTACGGCAAGGAGACACGGGGCCAGAGGTTGAGCTGATGCACAGCGTACCGGACCGCAAACGGCCACAGAAAATGGGGAGCAGCCGCATGGATCATGGAGGTACGAGCGACCTCCATGACTAAGCCAATGCGGCGCTCAGCAATCCCATTTTGTTGAGGGGAGTTCGGAAGCGTGAACGACTGGAGTATTCCCTCCCCACGACAAAATTCCCGCAAGAGGCTGGAGGTGAACTCACCACCTCTGTCAGAGTGCAAACGCAGGACAGGAAGGTCCTGGCCAAACCGCTCGCGAAGCTGGAGACAGACTGTGCGGATCCAAGGGATCAAGACATCAACAACCTGACCCTTGCAGCGCAAGGGGAAGACCGTTGTGTACCGCGTGTAGTCGTCAACGACCAGCAGAAAGTATCGCTCGCGGCTCTGTCCACTGACGCGGGCTGGGCCCCACACGTCCATGTGGAGAGTCTGCAGGGGAGCAGTCATCGGGGGAAACGAGGAGGAGTGAGGGGCGGCACGCTGCCGCCCCTCGACGCAAGGAAGGCAGGGCGGGGCAAGCGAGGGCGGCAGGGGAGGCAGAGACCTGGCTAGACCAGAGACAAGAAGACAAGAGTGCATGCCACGAAGGCGTGGCTAAGAGGGGTGACCCAGGCGGTGGTGCCACAGAAGAGTCTTGTGCGACACGAGCAACACGAGCAAGAGGCGGCTACCTGATCTGGCGCGGACACCTGAGCAGACGCAGCTACCGGAGAAGGCTCGGTAGCCAGTGTGTACAGACTCGACCCTGGCCGACGAGGTGAACGTGGCCAGGTGACGCCCCGTCTGTGTGCACGTGCAGATCGACACACGCTGACCCCCAGGAGTGATGGTAGTGACAATCGCATCCTGGAGGGCAGCGGTACTCACCAAGTTCGTAGAGAACGAGGGGAGGTGAAGACCTGACAGTGAGCCGGACGGAACCGCCAGACACGGGAGGACAGTGGAGGAACGGGCCACGACCGGGCCCCCGGAGGGGTCAGCCAGTCTGACCGGGACAGGTGCAGGGAGAGGAGTGAGGGTGGTGCTGTTACGAAAGAAACAGCGCGAAGCGCCTGAGTCCAACATAAAGGTGTGCAAGGCCTCAGCAGGCGCAGTACCATGGAGAGTACCAGACTCACTAGCACCTAGAGCAGCAGCGGCTATACCTGGGTCAGGCGGCACACACCGGTAACAGTCACCCTCAGCACTAACAGACAAAGCATACATAGCAGAAAGAATAGCATCAAAGTCTAGGTCAAAGATAGCAATCCTAGACTTAAGCAGACCTGCCCAGCGAGGGAGCTCGACGTCGTCACCAAACTCAGCACGCCAAGCGTCGTCGAGGCGGGAGAAGCAGCGGTGCTGAGTGTGGAGCCGCCCGCAAGTCTGACCAGCACGGTCACCCATGCGAATGACATACGGGCAACTACCCCCAGACGCCCCACGCAGAAACCACTCACGAAGCTGCTGGGGAGACGGGGTCTCGCTCCGACGCTGCTGCTGCTGACGCTGGCCACCCCCAGAACCGACACGCCGAGCGCCAGTCCCACCACTACCAGTCCCACCGCCTCCACTGCTGCCACTCCCACCGCTGCCTCCACCACCGCCACCAGAGCCCCCACTCCCGCCAACAGCCCCACCGCCGCCACCACCTCCACTGCTGCCCCCACCACCACTCCCGCTGCCACCTCCACCACCGCCGCTGCCACCTCCACCACCCCGGCCACCCTTGCCCTTGCTGCTACGGCGCTTCGCACTAGCAGAAGCAGCCCCGACGTCCTCAGGAACATAGACGTCAGCAGCAGAGGCGTAGGAGGGGGCAAGGGGGAGGGGGAACACCCCTTAAAGAAGGGCGGGCGCGGAGTGCCACGAGCAGCACCTACAGCAACTGCACTAGTCTCAGCTGCGAGGAGATGCTGCTCGAGGAGGTCAACAGTGAGGGAGGTGGGGTCAAGAGAGATGAAGTGGTCCCTGACAGAGCGAAGAGAGTCAGGGAGGCGGGTGACTATAAATTAGAGAGTGATGTACATCGCGGGGGGGGGGGGGGGGGTTCCTGTCAAGGAACTCAGCAGGAACGGCAGCGCGGTAGCGAGCGTCACTAGCGCGAAGGTGGGAAACTAGGTCCTCGACTATGGTAAAGGCGGACAGCTCGGGGAACAGGTAGGGCAGTAGAACGTAGAGCCGAACTATCAGCTGTAGCGGGAGGGGCAGTAGCGGCGCCTGACGCTAGGTCAAACAACGAGACACTGTCCTTAGAATCGCTCAGTAGGTACAGCTGCAGGTCGTCTAGCCACGTGTCAAACTGAACTGGTCTGCCCTCATGATCAAACGCGAGAACCCGAAGCGAAGCCATAGCTGTGCAGCTCGCAGGATAGCAGTAGGAGAAGCAGTAGCAGATGTAGCAGTAGTAGCAGTGACAGTACCGGGCCGTAGCAGTAGCAGTAGCAGGCAAGGTACGGGTCCGGGCTCAGGCTAGGTACGCGCCCGAGCGTGGCTAGGGACCGGGCCGGGCGTGGCTAGGGACAGGGCCGGGCGCTAGGCTAGGTACGGGGCCGGGCGGGGCTAGGGACCGGGCCGGGTGCGGGCTAGGTACGGGGCCGGGCGCTGGGCGAGAGACGGGGCCGGGCGCTGGGCGAGGGGCGGGGCCGGGCGCGGGCTAAAGTCGGGGCCGGGCGCTGGGCTAGGTACGGGCCGGGCGGGGCTAGGGATCGGTGTCAGATTTATATGACATAGCTACTGTAGGCTATAGTGGGGTAGCACATATGGGGTACAGTTTTCTAGGGTTTGCTTTTTGTACCCAACTTTCACTTAGTCATTTCATTCCTGTTTTCTTTATTCACATGGTATAGAGCGGGTTCCTACATGGGACCGTTCCTTCCTAAGGGCCCACCATAACGAATTTTTTTTTTTAGCTGCCCGACGCGCATTGCGCCCCTGCCCTAAATGTTTTTTTTTTTTTAGCGGCCCCCCCCCTAGCGGCCCCTACGCGACCCCTACGCGGCCCCTACGCGGCCCCTACGCGGCCCCTACCCGGCCCCTACGTCGCCCCTGACGCGGCCCCTACGCGGCCTCTGACGCGGCCCCAACGCGGCCCCTGACGTGGCCCCTACGCGGCCCCTGACGCGGCCCCAACGCGGCCCCTGATGCCGGCCCCAACGCGGCCCCTGACGCGGCCCCTACGCAGCCCCTGACGCGGCCCCCTGCCGCGGCCCCTGACGTGGCCCCTACGCGGCCCCTACGCTGCCCCTGAGGCGGCCCCTAACGCGGCCCCTGACGCGGCCCCTCCGCCGCCACTACCGCGGCCCCTACGCCGCCCCTGACGCCGCCCCTGACGCGGCCCCTGACGCGGCCCCCTGCCGCGGCCCCTGACGAGGCCCCTGACGCGGCCCCTGACGCGGCCCCTACGCCGCCCCTGACGCGGCCCCTGACGCGGCCCCTGACGCGGCCCCTGACGCGGCCCCTGACGCTGGCCCCTGCCGCGGCCCCTGCCGCGGCCCCTGACGCGGCCCCTGACGCGGCCCCTGCCGCGGCCCCTGCCGCGGCCCCTGACGCGGCCCCTTCGCCGCCCCTGCCGCGGCCCCTACGCCGCCCCTGACGCGGCCCTCTCCTGCACCTGACGCGGCCCCTAGCGGCCGGCCGCTGCCGTCCCTGTGGCAGCAGCCGCCGCCGTCTCTGCAGCAGCAGTCGCAGCCGAACGGCCGAGCCGCCGAGCCGCCGAGCCGCCCAGCAGCCGAGCCGCCCAGCCGCCGAAACCGCCCAGCAGCCGAGCCGCCCAGCAGCCGAGCCACCGAGCCGCCCAGCGGCCGAGCCGCCGAGCCGCCGAGCAACCGAGCCGCCGAGCCGCCGAGCCGCCCAGCAGCCGAGCCGCCGAGCCGCCC